ATGAATTCTCCTCAATTTTCCTTATGCTCATTTTTAATCCTTTGGTCCAAATATTTTGATCTGTATGATAGTTAATTTTATGTGTCTGCTTGACTGAGCCAAGGATGCCTGGGTATCTGGTCAAGTATTCTGAGCATTTCAGTGAGGATGTTTGGGGATGAATTTAATATTTAAATCAATAGACGGGGTAAAGCAGATTGTCCTTCCTAATGTAGTTGGGCCTCATCCAATCAGTTGAAGACCTGAATAGAACAAAAAGACTGACCTTCTCTAAATAAGAGGAAATTCTTCTTGCCTCACTGCTTTCTAGCTGGGACATTGGTATTTTCTTGTCTTCAGACTCAAATTGAAGCATCAGCTCTTCCTGGATCTTAAGCATGCTAGTCTTGAACTGAAACTATACTATTGATTCTCGTGGTTCTTAGGCCTTTGGGCTCAAACTAGAACCTGTAATATTGCCTGTGCTGGGTCTCCAGCCAGCAGACTCACCCTGCAGGTCTCAGGACTTGTCAGCTTCCATAACTGTGTGATCCAATTCTTATAATAAACCTCTTTGTCTATCTATCTATCTATCTATCTATCTATCTATCATCTATATATATCTATCGATCTAGATATAGATCTCCTATTGGCTCTGTTTCTCTGAAGAACCCTGACTGACAATCTGCCAATAATATTTGGAGTTGGAAATACAGCAAGAAGTGAATCAGATACAAAGATAATAAAACATAAATGTTTACCACCTGCCACTAGCAGCAATTTTCTAAATATTACTAATTTTGAATTTATTTATTTATTTATTTGTTTATTTTTGAGAGAGAGGGAGAAAGCGTAAGTGGGGGAGGGGCAGTGAAAGGGAGAGAGAGAATCTTAAGCAGGATCCACGCTGCCAGTGGTGAACCCAACACGGGGCTTGATCCCATGAACTGAGATCATGATCTGACCCTAAACCAAGAATCGGGTGCTTAACCGACTAAGCCACCCAGGCACTCCTGAATTTTATTTTTTATTTTCATTCAAAAGTTGCCAAAATCCAGAAGGTCATCATCAAAAACAGTGAAAATCAAGAGACATCAATAAGCTGCAAATTGAGCACATCAGTCTTTAGGGAAGTGTCCTGCATTAATACATATACTGCCCGTGAGTTCATGTGCACATCAGTTGTTTTTAATTCGTATTTCCAAAAGAACATTTCAAACTTATGTTCTCTGAACAGCCTACAAGTTTTAAAAATCTATAATGTAGCTAAAACCTCTTATAAAGAACCACCTGAGTTCTGCACTTGACAAAAGTAGTTGCTGAATAGAAGAGGGAAAAATTGAGAGATTAAGCAACTCCTATCTTTTTTCTAGGCACATGGTGAGTCTTGTGTATGTTCCATAAATTAATGTCCTGTTGAAATCCCAGTTGCCACCTGGCACAGTCCTGATTCCTGTTGCCACTATTGAATTGTCTGGCATGAGAATTCAGATAAGTTCATCATCACACCAACAAAATCTGAGCACCTGCTCTGTGCTAGGTTCTTTGCTAGGTGGGGAGAAAACATGAAGAATAATATATGCCTGCTCTTGAAAGAAGAGTAGGAACATAGAAAGAATGAAGAAAATGAAGAGCGAATTCAATGGTAGATTTTCTGGTCTTTACTCTATTTGCCTTCATTTCTTTCTCACTCACCTTTTTTATAAAATTTTTTTTCAACTTTTTAAATTTATTTTTGGGACAGAGAGAGACAGAGCATGAACGGGGGAGGGGCAGAGAGAGAGGGAGACACAGAATCGGAAACAGGCTCCAGGCTCCGAGCCATCAGCCCAGAGCCTGACGTGGGGCTGGAACTCCCTGACCGCGAGATCGTGACCTGGCTGAAGTCGGATGCTCAACCGACTGCGCCACCCAGGCGCCCCTCTCACTCACCTTTAAGACAAATCATGGTGTTTGGGAATAGCACAGATCCATGCCAATTATTTTTATACCAATGTGCAGGTGCATAAAGGGATCACTGGCCAAATGGCAGTTTACAGGAAAGAGATTTAGGGTATTTAGATACATGAAAATACAGTTGGAACAATAAAGTGGTCTGAGCTGCTAAAAAAGCTAACAGTGTTTAATGTTGTTCCCATTTGCAGAAATAAAGTGTCCTGATCAAAATAGGCAATAATTTCCCAATTGTGTACTTTACTATGTATTGCTGAAAGATTTTGGATATTTAGCCTGGAGTAAAACAATTAAAACACATCTGGGAACTTTCTTCAAACCTTTGGTCCTCTTCTATGAATGACAAATTGGAAAAATGTGTGAAAATGTGTCTTATTGTTAAGAACTTTCCAGCAACTAAAACTACAGAACGAAGAAATGGATTGGCCTGGGAGATCTGAGTAAGTACAATAATCTCTATCACTGGATGTGAGCAAGAATACAGTGGAAGGACACCTGTAAAAGATGATTTAGAAGGAATTATTCTATTGTTTGGGAGTTGAATTAGATGACTTTTAGTTCTCTCCTCGAGCTTTGAAGTCCCATGATTTCAGATTTTAGTAAGTTGTAGACTGTTTACCTATCCCATGGGTAGACACTCCAAAGGCACATTATTGAAATTCTTATAGCATGTCCAATAATATCATTACACATGCACACAAAATCAATTCAGAAATTTTGTTGAGTAATTATTAACGCAATAAAGGGTACACTTTGGTACTCGATCATACCTAAGGCATGTGGTATTTCACAAGCTTAGCTTTTTCTTTGTAATTCAAATTGTACATGATATAAAGACTAAGAATACCGTTTATAATCTGAATTACTTTAGCCACAGAAAAATAATCCATGGGCTCTCTATCCCTTCCACTGTATCTTCTATTTCTGTCTTTTTTATTCTTTTGTTTCTGTCTTGTTTTGTTTGTTGAAAATATCATCATTATGAGTAAGTGCAATGATAGATTTTGTTAAATGCTTGCTTTTCAGTACTTGGGATCTGAGTACTTGCTCCAGTGTACCCCAGAGAACGCTTTCATTTATTTTATCTTCCTGTCCATTCATTGTTTCTAATAAAAGGTTAAGACCAAAATAGTTCTCCTTCAGAAATGTACAAGAGCATATTTCATTTAACTTTGGTTCATAAAAGTTAGTGGAAATAACTACTATGATGTAAACTTTCTGCATATTCTTCTCAATGTTATTTTTCTCCAACAACAACTACTTTTCAAATACTTAAAGTTCTGAATCTGAGATCCTGTGAGACTAGCTCAATTTTTATCATGGATATTAATAGTATGTTAATAAAATATCTCAGATGTAATATAAATGCCTGTTGGAATCCCATCAAAAGTGGGGCTAGTTCTCTCTTTAATATATAATTTTCTTTTTTTGATTGGGACAGTTGATCTATGACATCTTTCATCCTTCCTGGCTAGCTACTTGCTTCTGTGACTCCTGTGGCCTCTCAGTTTCTTTCTTTTCATTTATTTTTAGTTTTTTAAATATTTATTTATTTTTGAGAGGGAGAGAGAGAGAGAGAGAGAGAGAGAGAGAGAGAGAGACAAAGCATGAGTCAGCAAGGGGCAGAGAGAGAGGAAGACACAGAATCTGAAGCAGGCTCCAGGCTCTGAGCTGTCAGTACAGAGCCCGTCGCGGGGCTTGAACCCACAAACCATGAGATCATGACCTGAGCCAAAGTCGGATGCTTAACCGACTGAGCCACCCAGGACCCCCTCAATTCCTTTCTTAATGCAGCTGTTTAGGTCAGTCAGAGGAAGCTACCAGGAAACTCCCTGGATGTCCCTACCGGTTGACATCCTGAGCAACAACCAAAGACAAGACTTTTTCTGGGTCCAACCAGATTGAGATGCCAGTGAACCAAGCAGGGTCCCTTACTATTTAATCTTCTACTCCTCTACCTGAAGGCAATGTTTCTTTTTTTCTTCTTTTTCTGAAGTAATGTCAATTACTGTCAAAGTTCTCAAAGCCCAGCTGCTTAGACTCTGTGAAGGAAGCATCATTAGAAAAGATATAAGACCATATGTATCACGATGAAAGAATGAAACATTGATTATTTTTTAATGATGAGAAAATAGTCTTATAAAATGTTTCATTGCAATACACCAGCAGGATGAGTGATCTATAGCTCCTGAAAGCTTTGAAAAGCCTTGCTCCTTCACTGATAGACAGTGAGGTTTATCAGCTCAGCTGTTGACAGCTTACCCCGTATTCGGTCTTTGCATGAAAAACATAATTAATACTGCCTTGAATAGTCCAAGCTGAGTTGAGAAACCATCTGTCAGAGATGTTGTCAGAAATTCTTGCCTTGGATGGAAGGCTGGATGTTATTAACCCTCATGGTTTCTTTCAACCCTTGATTCTCCTTAATCATGATAAAGATACACTTTTTCTAAATGGGAAAGTTGGTCCATGTGATGTTTTGATTCTAATGGAATTGTTAAAAGATGAAAATAAAATCTTGCTGTAAGTCAAAGATCATTCCCTTACTCTCACCCTCTCTTTGTCTCTAACGATTGTCTAAGAATTGACCATTTCTGCAGAGAAATTTAAAAATTGAGGGAAAAAAGTCTTTGTGTTTATATCATCTTTGTATTAAGAGAAAAAATCTCTAGGGAGAAACTTCTCTATACTTATCCCAGGTTAATTTATAATTTGGGGTGCTAGTGTCTGGAAAGCCACTGCCTATGTGACAGCTTCATGCTTCAATGTTAAAAATCAGAATGGGGCCAATTCTAGTGAATAGAGGTCCACACAAACAGTTGCTGTTTTTGTTGGTTCCTCTGGTACCAAGTCTAAGAATAGGAAAAAAAAAAAAAAAACTGGCAACACAATAGAAACCATCTTTTCCTTCAGCATAAACTGAGGCATGTGTTTGATGGAGGGAGGGGAAGAGTGTTTCTTCTTATTTTCCTTCAGTAAAGGAGCTTAGTTCCATTAAGCAATGTTGGAAAATATATTGGAGATAGTATATTTAAAATTAATTTAAAAGGTAACGTCTTTTTAATGCCTTTTAATATAAACAAAAATTGATTTTATTAAAATGCTTTCAGATATTATGATACAATGATTTATCACTCCAAGTCTGGAGCATAACTTCCTTTCCAAGTATATTGATTTTTAAATGTATTTGGGAAGTGGGAAAAGAACCAGAACAGTCTACCAAAATTCTTCACTCTCGCACTTAAACAGAACCAGGTCCATTACGTTAATGGAGTCTATTTCAAAACAGTACAGAAAAATTATTTTTTCAAAAGGATAGAATTAACAACTAGAAGTGTTTCTTAAACAACAAAGGACAGGTCATACTTTTCTAAGCTGTGTTTTGCTGAGTTGAAACATGAAATGTCAAACATTGATAATGTTCAAAGTTAAGTACACTGAGTCATTGAAATGTCTGAAATGTTGAAATGGATTATCAATGCTATTGGAGTCTTTACAGAACCTAGAAACTTCTATGTTCATTGTTAACATGAAAAATGTAAAAGGTTCTATTTCTCTCTTTAGATTCAGTGCCTAGATAGAATTGACTTAAAAAGAATTGACTTAAAATTTAAAGCACTTTTAGAAGAAAATTTCAGGGCTGTAGAAGTTAAATATGGGGCAAAAACCATACTTGTCACTTTCCCCCCATGTTTTCTGTTAAGGACTTAACAGATGCTAAGGTGTTTAACTGAACTCAGAATAAATGTCTCTGCAAAAAATTGAATTTTAATTGTTGGGCTGTTTAGCTCTTACAGTGATGCTCATTCAGAATGCTATGTTAAATATGTAGCAGTAATTGTATGTGTTTTTCCTAGCTTGTGGTATAAGATATTATGTCTTTTGGTGTAGTATTCTTATATCAAGATTATCTGACTTCAAATAAAGAACTCATTTCAGAGTGCTGCTTGAATATAAAGACTATCATCTGAGGATTAGAACTATGCTGATTTTCAGTTATGCATCTTGGTATTTGCTCCATTGTTATTTTCCAGGGAATAAAAGGGCAACGTGAAAAAGCGGATTTGTTACTGGTGCCTGGCTTTGATGCGTCTTCCCCTGCACCTGTTAGTGGAAGGGAAGAGCGATACAAATTGTAAGGTGAAATCCACAGAAGATCCAAAATCCGAGGGGTCGGTAGAAAGAGGCATGACAGTGTTGCTGTTACGAACAGATGCTGGAGTACGGTGTACTTGGATTCAAGTCTAAATATTCAATAGCTGTATGTATGACTTGGGCAGTTACTTAAACTCTGCAGTTTGGAGTTTCAGGGTCTTCATTTGTAAGAGGAGATTTGCTAGAGGTTTAAGTACGTGTGTGTGTGTGTGTGTGTGTGTGTGTGTGTATACATATATATGTATATAAATCTACACTTAAGATGTACATATTTTATATGTATGTATTATTTTATATATGGGTACACATTTACTTAAGATTATATATATCTTACTTAAAACTATATATATTTACTTCAGATTATATATATCTACTTAAGATGTATATATGATATATATTCATTTAAGATATATACATGGATATATACATATATTTACTTCAGATTTTATATATATAATAGAGCAACAACATCTTGGCAGGTGGTGTTACTTAAATATTATTATATTGACCTGTCACTTCTTTTTTTTTTTTTTTTAATTTTTTTTTTTTCAACGTTTATTTATTTTTTTGGGGACAGAGAGAGACAGAGCATGAACGGGGGAGGGGCAGAGAGAGAGGGAGACACAGAATCGGAAACAGGCTCCAGGCTCTGAGCCATCAGCCCAGAGCCCGACGCGGGGCTCGAACTCACGGACCGCGAGATCATGACCTGGCTGAAGTCGGATGCTTAACCGACTGCGCCACCCAGGCGCCCCTTGACCTGTCACTTCCATAGCTGAACTGCTAATAAGTTAACAGAATTGATTGATGTGATGGTTCTTTCCCTGTTTTTTCTTTGAAGTTTCAGTTACAGCAAAATGTCAGTTAAGAAATTGAGTAAACATGTAATGAGATGCCCTACAGCAAGGTGCTGAGTTAATAGTCAGAATAATCACTTCCTGAATACATATGAATGAAGTCTTTGTAGAACTAGCCGAGGGGCTGTTAATGGGCTTTTGTTTTAGAGATGATGGATTGATATTCCAGGGATAGGCCTGATGGGAACCCTCCTAGCCACTGCCTCTCATTGCCTAGTACTAAAACAGTAGCCTTGCAAAGAAGTATAGCCTCAAATTTATCAAAGCACTAAGCTTGAGATTCATAAGGACAGAGATTTTGTCTGTGTTGGGTTATTGCTGTATCTGCAGAATATAGACAAATGCTTTGCAAATAGTGGGTGCACAATAACTATTTCTTGAATGAACTGAACGAATGGAAACCTTGACCTTTTCTTTAAAAGAGGATTAACATGGGGTGCCTGGGTGGCTCAGTCGGCTACGCATCCAACTTCAGCTTGGGTCATGACCTAGAGGTTCGTGAGTTCGAGCCCCACGTCAGGCTCTGTGCTGACAGCGTGGAGCCTGGAACCTACTTCAGATTCTGTCTCCATCTCTCTGCCCCTCCCCTGCCGATGCTCTGCCTCTTTCTTTCTCAAATATAAAATAAAACACAAACAAATTTTTAAAATAGGATTAACAGGCTTTCTTTCTCACCTCTCGACAGATTTCTTACCCCAAGAATGCTGGTAAGCAGGAAAGCAGGGATGAGGAGCAGTAGAGTGCAGGAGAGGATATGAGTGCAAACCTGTACATTTAACAAGTATTCTAGAAGCCAAGGATGTGGTTAAACATTCACGGGAATGTGTGGTGTGGAGTGGTGCCACACTTCACTCAGATTCCGGTGTGTGTGTCACATTTGTATGACAAATATTTTGCTCAGTTTCTGACTAACTTTAGTGTCCATACTTAACACTTTGTCCACGCCAAGGCTTTCAGAAATCCTTTATGGCCAAGTGTCATAAGCTGACGCTTTTACTTTCTGCAAACACTTAGCTTACTTTCAATAGCTGCTCTTCAACTTTGGCCAGCTAAAATATTCAGTGTGACACGGTCCATTTCACAGGTAGGGTTGATTATCTTGCATTACTTATAAGTTACCTTGCATCCTCAGAGAATGGATTAAAAAATAACATTCTCAAAATTATTCCTGAAAACCATCTAAATACATATTCGTTTTTACTACCATAGCAAACATTTTCTGAAAACAGAAATAAGCCCCTTTCATGTACAGATGAGCTAATAGTTCGATGCAGAAACTATTCATTTGTACACACTGTAAGTTTTTCTAATTACCTTTGTAATAAAAACTGAGGAGGTATTAGTCATCCTTCGCTGAGCCACGCTCAATTCTACTTGTCTTTTCTCACTATAATAAAAACAACAAACAATCTTAAAGTACATTATTAATCGATTAGACATGATTTCTTAAAATGGTTTTTATCATCTCATTTAACTTTGGAGCTTCCAGACATTAATAACGAGCCACCATAAAGCTATCATGGATTTATAATGCACATTACCACATCAAGGTTTGGCCCCAAAACTCTGTGGGCCCAGAAGCAAAAAGAAAGATGTTTACAAGTGAGCCCTGGCAGAAGTACACTGAAAACACGTATCTGTGGTCACAGTAAACAATTAGGCCAAAGGTGAGTATAATGAACATTTAGGTTCATTTTATTCCAACGAATCGTTTCTATTCTTGAAGCTCCATGTAGCAAAAGTCCTTAGGGTTAGAACACTATTGAGTGGTATAACTTTGCTTGGACTTTGGGCATACAAGGTAAACATTTTACAACAAAAATTTACAGCCATAGATAACATAAAATCTAATCAATGTTAACACACTTGGCATTTAAGGCTAATCCACATTGGAAAACAATCATTTCCAGGATGGAGATCAAATATCTTAACACAGTGTCACCTGTCTGAGTTTACAAATGTATCCATAGGATGTAGTGTTTTCACATTTGTCAGTTTCTTTTTCACTTGTGTACTAGAGGGAGGCACTTTAAGAGCTATTAACTGTAGTTTTATAAGTACAAGATACTGAGTTTCAGCAGGGATTGGTAAGTATGGCAAGGAATTAAGATGAAATTGGATTAAAAAGAAAGTAAACAAACCATTAAATCAGAAAATTTCGCCAAATCTTGTAAAGATCATTGATTTCTGATCTGAATAACCTCCTCACTTAAAAAAAAAATTAGTAGTTATCACCCACCTACGCCCCAAAAAGTGAACATACTACAGGTTCTGAAGTTAAGGTATAATGGTTTTACTGCTTGGGCTTGTAAGGGGTTTTCAATATTGACAAGCACTTTATGTCTTGAGCAGTATTTTGAAATATCGTATTATTATGCATAGGTTCCAGAGTGTCATAAAAGCTAAAGGGTCCAATAAAACCTATTGTAAGAATTTAGTAAAACGTATAAAAATTAAAAGGCTAAAAAAACCCACTCCGTTTTAAACGTGTAAAAGTAAATCGAATTGCTTCGTGGGAATCCGGTGACTTTTGTTCTGTTTTGTTTTGTCTCATTTGGTCGGTAGGTACTGCACCCGCCACAACACGTTGGAGAGTAGGTCCTGGTACACACTAAGAAATATCCAACCAGGTAAATACATCAGGGTGATGAGGCCCATGAAGTTGAGCGGGTAGTGAGAATAGTCCCAGGAACAAGCACCGCACATGCGGAGTCCCAGACCCCAGGACAACTCCCACACATAGACGAAGATCACGTAGATGGGCACCCGCTTCCAAGCGCTCCAACCACGACTGCAGTGCAGGTGGAAGTAGAGCTTTTCCACCACAAAACTGCAGCTGCCATAAATAAAGAAGGACCAGAGCGACGTGTGGCCGCTGGTGGCCCCGTCTCCCTGCCCCAGTAAGTTAAAGAAGAAAGTGAAGAAGATCTCATCCAAAAAGCCGTGCATTCCGAAGAAAAGAAAGCGGAGCAGGTCCGGCAGCCCCTGACCGGAGGCTCCTCCGACGCCCCGAGTGTCTCGGGGTAGTCGCCTCCGGCCACCTGCAACCACAGGGGCCCGGGCGCCCAGAGGGGCGGGGGGCGCGCCGGGCCGATGCTGCGGCTGCTGCCGCTGCTCTGGCTGCCGCCGGTACCGCAAGCGCAGGAAGCGCTTCAGGAACACATGGCAGTGGTAGAGAGCCAGCACATACTGCAGCGCTAGGTCCAGTGTCCCCGGCGCCGCCGCACCCCGCGGTCCGCTGCGCAGGCCGAGCAGCAGCGCCTGGCCCGCCAGGGTCTGCAGCGCCACGTGGGCCGAGGGGTAGAGGAGAAAATTGAAGAGGAAGGCGCTGGGGCAGCGCCGCTGCTGCAGGTAGACCTTCTCCAGGGCGAAGTGGGTGAGCGAGTGCAGCAGGCAGCGGTAGGGCGAGGAGAAGCCCAGCATCCGGAGGTCCGGGCTGCTAGCGAAGCGCCGAACCGCGGACACGAGCACGTCCAGGGTGATCCCGTGCATCCCGTAGAAGTAGAGGCGCATCCAGGCGGGCAGCGCAGCGCCGTCCGCCGGCGCTTCAGCAGTGGACAGCGGCCCCGGGTTGCTGGCGGCAGCCTCGCCTCCCCGCCCGCCGGGGGCCCCCGGACGCCGCGCGGCGCCGCTTCTGCACGCCCGACTCTCGCCGCCCGCATCGCT